AAAAAAAAACCTAAACACCCTCTTAGCTCGATCGCACTGTTGTTTCCCGGGTCCGTCTGTTCCGGCTTAAGAGCTGTAACGAACAGAAATTCCGCTCCTTGCCACGTGTCACCTGCAGCGACGCGTCTCCCTTCTTTTTTTTTTTAATCTTTTTTATTTTATTTTTATTTTTATTTTTATTTTTAGTAACCCCCCTTAGAAGACCCCCCCCCTCCACCCTTCCTCTGATCAATTACCCCGGCGCGCCCCCACCCCCTCCGTCCTACCTTTTAGTGTGGACCACCCTCTCTTATCTCTCGTGGAACCCTAAACGAATGGACGATGACACGTGGCAACAACGCTCCTTGCCACGTGTGATCTGCAGCGACGCGTTGGTGGAAAACCATAAACGAACGGGACGATGACACGTCCCAACGCTCCGTGCCACGTGGTCACGATCATCGCTCGTTCGCTTGCCCCCTTCATGGTTGTACGGAGCGGTGATCGGGATCTGAGGTTCGATTCCTGGTTGGGATCGCGGCCAAGCTCGCGGGTGGTGACGGTTTCCCGTGTCGCGATGCAGATGCGCGACGGGTTTTCGCCAGCCGTGCCGTAGCGCAGTTGGAGTGCGACTTTACTGCACAGCAAAACAGCAATCACAGCAATCCTAATAGAGACAGTTTCGTCGCCCCTTCGCCGAAAAACGCGTCCAGGTTCAGTAAGCCTCCTTGTGCGTGAGCGGAAGTGTGTGTGCGTATGCGTACATGTGTGCGCGTGTACACGTGTCCCCGTTCGGTGAACCTGTGCAGGTGCACGTGATGATGCGTGTGGATGTGCGGGTGGGGTGGGTAAATGTCTGCACGGGCCTCGTGTGCTCCACTACTCAGAAATTGTGCATAATGAGAATGAATCTTTCGTTAGAACGTGGAAAGATGCACTGCCATATTTTGTCTTTTCAGCATGTGGTGAGTAGTGTAGCGAAGCTCCATGTCCGTCTGATGATTTGTGTACGTGCACGTGCGTCTGCGCGTGAGCAGGCACTCACTCTTGAGCGTTTCAAGGCGCACACGCACGCACACACACACACACACACACACACACACACACACACACATGCACACATGCACGCACACACACGCACACATGCACACATGCATACACACACGCGCACACATGCACACACACACACACACACGCACACATGCACACGCACGCACACACACACACACACGCACACATGCACACACACATGGATGGTTTGTGATGATCGAGGGGTGGATGGAATGACTCACTCTTGAGCGTTTCAAGGCGCACACACGCGCACACACGCGCACACGCGCACACGCGCACACACGCGCACACACACGCGCACACACGCGCACACACGCGCAAACACGCGCACACACGCGCAAACACACATGGATGGTTAGTGATGATTGAGGGATAGATGGAATGAGAGAGAGAGAATTTGGGGTTTTAGAAAAAGCACACATGGCTGAGTGGGTGTGAAGAGTGGGTGGGTTTAATGGCTGGGACAGACCAGTTTCTCAGACTTTCTGCCATTTCTGTCTTTTGTCAGGGGTTTGGACCGACAGTCTGCTAGGGGTAGGTAGGGGTGCAGTGTCCGTGTGAGTAAGGCGGACCACTTTACTCTCTTTCGAGGGTGGGTGGGCCTCGCTCCTCTTCTCTCGAAGTGTGCAAAACGAGAGTGAATCTTCCGCTAGAACATGGAAGATACACCGCCATTTGTCCATCCGCCAAACACATCCTGGCCAGACTGTCCGTCCAGGTTCAACCTCCTCCTGATGAGTCGGTGGAAGTCCGACGAAACCGTCTCGCACAGTCATATATATGGTATCGCCTTGTTTACTTACTGTATTTTTTGTGGAGTTTTCTAACGTACATTACATCGACACACGCACACACACACACACACACACACACACACACACACACACACACACACACACACACACACACACA